GCAGTTTTCCTGACAACTCTTTAGCAGACATCTTCATCTTCATAAAAAGTATAGTCTATAGCAGGATCCAGTTTCCTATTTTTCGTATTACAGGTTGCATTTTTCCTTTCCTTGTTTTTTCCTGATGTATTCTTATTCAATGAGTAGCTAAAGAATGGTCATGCCAGGAGAAGAGTAATCTTGTTACCTAAAGACTACATAAAAAAAAATAGAAAAGAATGTCAACAAAAATGGCCCGTTGTGTACGATCACCTGGTGGAGAAGATAGGAAGCCCAGCAGTTGGGTATTCATGTGGGTAATATAAAAATTAACCCAAGAGGAATTTTCATATTGAAATAAAATGAAATAAATAAAGAATTCTGTGTAAGTACGTTTATTTTGCAACCGGTACTTATGTATTTTGAATGACACAACGACGAGCTTTGGGACGTGAGTCTAAAGATCGCTTTTAGGAACGGGAATGCTGTAATCAGAGCAAAGAGCGCCACTTCGCTTTTTGTCCTCAGCGTCTTTTCTGCAAAGGACAAAGAATACTCAAAATCAAAATACATACATAAAGCAATTATTTATATTATGTGAAGAATAACGCAATCAAAATGTACTTTTCTAAAGCTTTCTCTCTTTATATTTGAAGCATACAACATATACATTATAAAAATATGCCAACACCGCCAAACATGGTGGTTCCATGGTTGATATTTGCGGCTATATCCAGTTTAAACTTTCGTTAAAGTTAACCCTACTTTCTGATAAAATATTTTATATTCTGGTAATAAATCCCAGTGATAAAAATGATTATTACATGTTTTAGTTTTAAATTTCGAAAAAACAAAAAAAATTGTTGCTTAATGAATGTACTGTGGTTACTATAGTTTCTATACATCTTTTCATTCTTGGACAATTTTTGGTATTAGATATATATTGCACAAACAATAGAATAATGGCTTATTGTTTAGAGAGTTTCCCCGCCGTCTTAAGGCATCACCTGAAGATCCTACCGCGATCGTAAACTTTCTTAAGTTAATGATGTCATCATATCTTCGTAAATATTTTGATATTATGTACTGATTAAACTTATGATTGATATTAAGTTATTTTGGATGACGAATCAGACGATATTTATAACAGTGGGGTACAAATTAACTATTTTTTGATTTTTGTAACATTTTTGTAAACAAACTGACACAATAATTACACTCCCTTTTCCCGTTACGCGTAGATGCCTTGCTTAGCACTTAGCCTTGTATTGTTCTTAGTCTTAGAAACGATAGTTTTTACCATTGATAAGGATTATGTTTATGTTTAATTTCATTATTTGTGCGATATGTTCAATGTTTTCACTTCACAGTCATTTGCTTTGCTGTTGAATTGACATGTTTTTGTAAATATATTTAAACGAATTCAAAAACTAGAATAATATTAATGTTTTTCAGGTGGAAGTAAGCAATTCGCTTACTAGTAATGTTAATAGGTTTATTTTACATAAAAAATGGGCCAGAATGGTCAGAAAATTTTATTTATACAAGTATAAAATATCAATAATTCTCATCGTATGTAAGTTAGTGGTTAGAAATAAACAATAAATGACGTTTTTATACTCAATATTGAAGTCTCCAGTTGTGCTAATACTTAGAAGGAAATGGGATAATCCATTCAATGGCAATTCAATGGCAAAGTGGTTACGTGTCTAAATAGTAGGTACTGTATTACTGTATACAATTCACCGAAATCTTTTAAATATTTAAATGAAATAAAAATAAAGGTATTTTAGCGTATCTCAATCAGCCAATGGCCAATAGAAAAATACTTTGAGTGGTAAACGTACTTTTAAATTCTTTCAAAATTTTATTTAAAAATCCATTCACAAGTGGACATCTTTTTACCCAAATCGAAAAAAGAACCGTTCATTAAACCGTCAGTGGTAGGAAATTTGTCTAATACGAACTGATTGGCATTCAACGAAAGTACTAATTTTATACCATGGGCAATAAGATATCTGCGTTTAAAAAAAAACTATAGACACATAGAAACAATGAAAAATACAGTAGAAAACGGAATAGAAACAGAAACATGTAAGAACGGTGACAACTAATCGTCTAACACTTTTAACTGTACACAATGTGCTGAACATATCACCAATGAGGAACTCACTACTTCAGCAAATAATAACAGAAAGATCATGTCATTACGTATCTTCCATTTGTAACCTTAATACTTCCATGAACCAATATTCAAGAAAGGAGATAAAGAGACCCCAACAATTATAGAGGTATAAATCTGCTGAACACTGCACTTAAGCTTACCACAAAAGTCCTAACCAATAAAATCAAAAAACTAACAACTTTATTAGATTAGATAGAACAAGGATTCACATCCGGAAGATCCTTCGTAGACGCCGTATTTGTACTAAGACAAAACACAGAAAAGGTCATCGAGTACAATTAACCAGTATATCTATGTTTTATAGACCTGACAAATGCTTTCGATCGCACTTAAATCCAAGATGTGTTACACTCACTGTATAAAAGAAATATACCAATCAATATACCAGAAAATATACCAAACAGAAAGAAATATACCAAACCTCGAAAACATCTTCCATAATCGAATAAAGGCAAAGATAAATGGAAAACTAACACAGTGTATCAGTACAAAGCGAAGTCAGACTCGTTAAGCCCACTTCTATTTAATATAATAATGGACGAAATAATACAAGCAGTACGGAAAGGTCATGGTTACAGAATGGGGAACAAAGAAATCCAAATATTATGTTATGCAGACAAATCCAAATATTATGTTCATATTAGACGACGTATTAATCGACGAGACAGAAGACGAGCTCCAAAGATTAACACACTTCTTCAATACAACAGCCAAGAAATACAATATGATAATATCAGCAGAACAAACCAAATGTATGACAACATCTAAATATCCACTATGATGTACAATCGAAATTGATGGGAAAGTAATAATGGGACCGTGCAAGTTCGGAACAGCGACACCTGGTGTCGTAAATCAGCAAAATTTACTGCGCTTTCATGTTAGATCGAGGTTACTGGATAACTGTCAAGGACGTAGTCCCAAAAAAGATAAGAAAAAAAAGTAAGATTGAGGTTGTCAGTATGTTATTAAAAGGTAAACATTGTATGTAGTGTAAATACAAATAAATATATTATTAAATTACAGTATTACTGTTAATATGGATGCAATAATAAAAACTGGAGAAAGTAAATCACCAAATCACTTTTCCACCAAGCATGAGTCAAGGGAAAAGCTTTAGTAGTGGCAAATGTCAAAAAAGATTGGAAGAATTATGTGGCAGAATTAAGAAAATAAATTACCATAAATAATGCTAATGCATAAATTAGCAGGTTAAGCCCATAATATCATCATATTGGTTTGAACAATTAATTCTTTCCTGTAAACTTTTGGACAGCGAATATATCTTAATGCATCTTCAGAAAAACTTGAACTTGATGCATTTTTGTAAACTTCAAAAAAATAAAATTTAAACATTAAACTTGATTTTTGGATTAAAATGAACTCTAAGTGAGTGTTATGAAACTAAAAATTTACACTTAAAAGTGAACTTTTATTTATTATTTATTTCAAACTGACTTTAAAATCGGGCGCAAGAATAATGCATAATTTAGGTTATGTTACTTATGCTTTTTTATGATATAAATCCACTTTTCTCTTTGTAGTAGCTTTGTGCTTCGAAGTTGGAAACGAATAAAACTGAAATTGCCAATTTTTTGTTGTATTTTTACAATTTATAACACAGCATTTCCTAAATCCCATTTTCTTCAGTGATAGAAGGTGTAAATAAACACACGAATTACGAAAATGAAATATGACAATTGACAATATGAATTTATGAAATCTATGAAATGTGCAGTAAAAAATGCAAGATTTCTCCGCTACTCGCGCACGATCGTTTCTCGTATCCCCTCCAAGTACTTGCACGTTGCCAAAAGCAAGAAGCAAGGTTTAGATATCTGTAAATAGATATAACTAGTTACGGAGATGTTGAAGAAGAAGTACGACAACAAAGCCTAAAAGCAAGCAAAGCAGCGGGATCTCTTGATAACACAATCTGGAAGAACAAACACCTAAGACAAGACACAAAACTAAAATTTATAAAGCAGCAATTAGACCTGTATTAACATTCACGGCGTAAACAAGACCTGACACATGCAATATAAAAGACATAAATGGATGGGTAACAAAACGAAAACAGAAGTGCCATGAACACATTAGTAGAGTAGCAGAGGATAGAATAGCACGAGATAAGTTGCCAAATGGACGAAGAAGTATTGGCAGACCAATGGTGTGATAATTTGAACATTTTAGGAGGTTAATATTGAAGAAGAAACAGTCTTTAAATCCTACATATAAGAAGGAAGAAGAAGCCCTAATACTTTCCAATAGGAATCTAATAATGAATCTACTATACATCCATCTGACGACAGCTTTTTGTGGTACAGAACCTGGAACATGGTAAACTACTCACTTGGAAAAATCTACCGATCGGCTGAGACTATCGAGCCGATTATCAAGTAATGTGAGGGCCAAAATAGAGGCTCAAATTCAAATTTACCTTGAAAACTAACCAGACATGTTTTTACTTGTATAAATAATTTGTCTTTATCGGTAATTGTAGCTTATAAATTTAAAAATAATTAACAGTATACTTCAGTTTTAATGTATTTAATGTTAATCGATGTGTAAATGGATTTGTAAGTAATAATTAGTAATGCGGTGGTAATTTCTTTTATATATATTTCGATATCTAATATTCAACAGCAAAGATTAAAAAGTTTAGTCGTTTTTTTGTTGAAATAAATCGCACATATCAGACACACATACCTACAGACTAGGCAAAACCAAGGAGCAGTGCTAGCATGTGAGTGTTCGCCCTCTCACATCCGTCCATTTTGTTTTTGTGGTTTTTTTTTTGGTTTTTGTTGACATGTATTTGTTTGGCCGAGCTCAGGTACCTGCCATTTCCCTGGCATACGAGGAGGCAGAATCAGATATAATGAAGCGAAGACCTAGAAACCCTTTCAGTGATAAACTCGTCAACGAAAGGTAATAGAATGTCTTCGATGCTATCCTACTTTTTTCTGAACACGAGCTGTTGTCTAGCTCGGTACTTAACTGCCTCGATAAGGCTCGGCTGCATTTATATTTCTTGAACTTTACGTTTTTCTTCATTCTGCGAAACTTCTGCTTTCCCTTCATCCCATTTTACCATTGCACATAGCACATGTTTTGTTTTTGTAAACGACTTAATACTCAACTGGACAGATCAAAAGTCAGTCACTTGGAACTTTCAGCCATGACGCGGACGTAACGCTTTTTTATTTCTAAAAAGTTGTTTTTGTCATGTGCTGTTTGTTTTAATAATAACATCTATACATGGATGGCATAGCTATCTGATAATCAGTTACTATAGTTTCCGAGTTCTAAATTACCGATAGATCATCTACATGTTTGAAAGAACAACATTAAACAAATTGCTTAATTTTTGTTACATTGGTAATAATATGTTAGTTAATAATTTAATTTTTTTTACTTCTCTTAATATGACAATTCAATTAAGTTATATATTTTTTAAAGTAGAAGATTTTAAACTGGTATTGCTAGTATTTATGAGGTGCGTTTCTGGGACAACTTTATTAAAAAATAATCAATTTGATTACATGAAGTCAATTTTAGTTTAAGAATCGCTGTTTAGTAATGATCGCATATAATAGGTCTTTAAAATGATGATTACAACCAATCATGGGAAAAAGATTCCATTGTTATTAATTTCACTGTAAATGATCAAGGCATACATACTATAAAAGTTTTAAATGTTTAATGTCCATTATAATTGGATAAATTCGAAAGTAATTATAATTTCGAATTGTTTGTAATGCCCTCTGTCCGATTCTTCTCGGTGGACGATGATGAAATAAAATGTTGAAGTCGTGGAGTAAGATATAGTATCCATAGGTCACTGGTTCATATCCGGCTCGAAGGACCAATGGACAATTTGAATGTAATTATAATTTCGAATTGTTTCTAATGCACTGTATCCGACTTTTCTCGATCGATGATGATAAAATAAAATGTTGAAGTCGTGGAGTTAGTATAGTTTTATTTATCACATATTTATTTATAATCACGTTCTAGTACAGTTTACCAAGAAATTTGTTACGCAATTTTGCTCTAATTACTAAAATGAGAACAGTTTACAAAGAATAATATTGATCGATCGTTTATTAAAAATAATACGTTCATAAATAAACCAACTTCTTCCAGGCTCAGGGTTTTAATTGGTAGCCCATGCAATAAAAAAGAAGAAAACTCGCATGCTATTAAAGATAGACATTTTTAGCATGAGTTTAAATGAATTTTGGTGTAGAATTGAAAGACGTAAGCAAAAAATGACAACTGAGAAGAATGAATCACTCTTAAACATAATATTAATTGATGTTTTATTAAAAATATTACTCAGCAAGAAGAACACATGTTTTAGGAGAGAATTTTGCTGGCTTGATTGGTTATGATGTGCGGTTATTAACGACCAATCTCATAATTATCTTCCAATGAAATAGTTCCAGAAATGAACCTCAAAAATACGTGTTTATAGTGTATATAATATATATGAATAATCTTGACCTAGATAAAATTAAATTTAAAAGAGATTTGTAACTAAGCCCCAAAATATTTTTCAAAATTTCTGTTATTTAAGTGATTTGTCACTAAAATGTCAGTAAAAAATTTTTGTAATCATACCATTCAAGCTGATCATAATATATATTAATCAAAAAAGCGTCTATATATTTTAACAAGAGCAAAGCATCAAGTTTTGGTTAAATATGGTAGTTGTTTCAAAGTTTCCTATAAATATATTTACCAATATTGTGCGTAAAGAAAACCCAGTGGTTTCTCCGCGATCTGGAGTTATTTTTTCCAAACGTTTAGTCTGAGGCAAAGTTACCAACTTTTCACAAGACAACTTCATTTTTTGCTGCATAACCTTTGGTAATATTTGCTGCAGACAAACCAAATTGATCATATCAATATTTTATAATCATATGTTTGGCTATCTTTATCCACAATATGTACAAATATGTTTATACATAAATTTCGACAACCACCATTTTCTAAACAAGAATTGATATTCGCTGCAATATGAACATATATAGATGATGATCACTGGCAGAAAATAAGTACACAATACCTGATACTGATAAAATACAAATCTCACAGAAACATAAAGCTTACAGTTGAGTTTAAGTCTAAAATGCTTTACTTATCTCTCACCTCTTAGTACACCTTCACCTACATGATATTTTCACCTCTCACAAATGAATTCAGAACATACATGACAATCCTCCTGCATAGTAACTACATACTTGTACGTGGTTTTCGCTTGTGCCGATGGTGAGTAGCAATGAACGGGCTTTTGTCGAATCAACATCCTTCACCTCATTTCTTTCCATCGTTAAGTTGTAGAAAAATAATATATTTCTATGGTGATATATTTATTGTAACATAAATAATGTTTGTGGTTATTTATTAATGAAACAACAATAAGAACTGTATTTTAAATGACATTAATCTGCTTTTAATATAGCGAGTAAAATCTGACTATAGCAAGATATGAATGTGTTATTTTAATTTACAATATACAGATCACTTGACAAAGGCAGTGTTATGCTCCAATCACTTATTATCCCTACTTCTAACTCGAGTTGGTATTGAGTCTTTGGTTGTATTTAGAAACTCATAAAAGTCCTGTAAAATTCTTTCTATGATTTTATATACCTGGTTCACTTAATTGCTATTACGCAAGAAAACAAAAGTTCTAGTGAGATAAATACTAGCCTAAGAAAGAAGCAGACAGACTTTGAAAAACAAGAACGAATTACAAATTAGAAGGGAGCGAAGAACAATTAACAACTTCACACTTTTTTTTCTTCGGAAGCCGTCTGTCATATGGAACTACAGGCAATTAGCTAACTTTGAAAAATAAGGCTATTATCGAGCACAAGTTTAATTAAATCTTGCCCAAGTATTTTCGCTTAAAATAGCATCTTCAGGGGCATTTCGTCAAATATCGTGTTCATTTACTCGAGCATTCAACCTATATCAATTAATTAGCTTAACATTTTTCTTCTAGTCTTCCAGCATTAGATCCCAGCTTGTGAAGATCTAGTAGCTGGTTACCAGATGTTTTAGGTTCCTAAGTTATTTTGTGGTCAGATCTAGGCTTCTGCCTATCGATGGTTCTTTTTGGCACTCCTAAGGCATCCTCTGGACCAACATATTTTATCCTCTTTTCGCATATTCATTAGACTTCTCATTGCCAATGATTTTGCACAAATACTAATGTTATACCATTGTGTTTCTAGAGTCTTGCTTAGGGCTCCCCAGCCCCATAACCGCTTAAGTTCAAAAGCCTGATGCTAGTTTTTCTTGTGTAAATATTTATCTGAAATGTGGAGGTATATTCTCTTGTTCAGGGGGGAAATCCAGTGGACATAAATATCGTTAATAAACATTTAAAAGTACATAATATAGATAAAAACAAAATTTGCATGTACAATCAATCTACAATTTACAATGAGAGATTCAACTGATACGTGTCAGGGCATAAAAAATTCAGCAATATATTGGAAAAGGAAAATATAAAGGAAGGTGTTCAGAATAATCGAAGAACCAGAAAAAAATCAAAGAAGGAGAACTTTAAGGAGAATGAGAGTGATTCTTCAATTACGAGGCACGAACTCAGATGAAAGAAAAAAAGTATGGTACGAGATATAAAGGCTCAGAGATTGGAATGATTCTATCACCTCTTAACGATTCTATCACGACAGAAAAAGTGCATAATAAAGAAAATAAGAAACTGAAAACCAGACGTAAATACCTACAGAAATCCAGATAAAATTATCAAAGTTTTAAAGATTAAAGAAAATATCAGTTTATTCAATATAAAAATCGATGACCTAAACTGGAGGATAAAAATTAAAAACCAACGAATGCTTATACTCTTGGCATTGAGTGTCATCAGCGTCATTAGCTCAACAACCATTTTGTTGGTCTTGGTTTGTTTCAGGATCTTCCTCCATTGTGATCTGTTATTTGCTTTGTTTTTCAGTTAGTAATATTTAAGATTTTCAAATCTTGTTTCACATGTGCCATACGTCTGAGTTTTGGTGTTTCCTATGATCTTTTTCACACTGGTGTCTGTCTTATGACTACGAGAAGCATGTGCAGATAGCTTATGTCGTTTTGATCACTTAGCTTCAGCTGCTACTACTTTTAGACAACATTTCTACAATTAGATGTGAAATTTCTTAGTTTTCGTTTATTTTATTTCTGGATATAGTTTGGTGAACCTACAAAATTTAACAAGAAATCAAAATACACTGTTATTATATAACACATAGCATACTAATTGTATTTAAATGAAAAAACTGTTTTGTTTCAACACCTGTTGAAAATTTTTAAAAGAAAATGGGACTATTTATTATAGGCTGAGAATTTCTTCCAGATCGGGTAATTATTGACAAGTATGGAAAGGAAATACGTTCACTCGGTATTTTAGCGTTTTTGCCAATGAACTACCACTTTAACAGCTTCATACAAAGATAATTTTAACATATAAGCATTTGAAATAGTTGTTTCTAAGATTTTTAATATATTTAAATAAAATTTGTCATTAATTGGAACTATTTTTTACAAAAAAAACACTATTTGAATAATTAGAGGTATATAAACTATAGAAATTATTTTTCTGTCAATTTAACTTCATTTTAATCCAATGTATCTCATTCATAGATTCATGCACCTCATTTTTATTCATTTTGCACTAAACAAGCTTCTTCATCAACCGCGCCCTCTAAATATATGCATTCCTACCCGCCCTGTTCCCTCTACACACTATTCTAAACAATCTAAATACTTAAAATGACCAAACTTGGTGCACGATATTTCCCACTACTAACTTTATCTGTTGCGCCACCGTCTTTCTCTATAGGTGCCTGCTATTTCTCTGGCTTATGAAGCCCCGGAGTCCGACATAATGAAAAGAC